CACCATATTCTCCAGACCTGGCACCATCGGATTATTATTTGTTCCGGTCACTCCAAAATTTTTTAGACGGTAAAACCTTCACCTCAAATGAGGAGGTCAAAAACCTCCTCGATCAGTTTTTTGCCAGCAAAGACCAAAAATTTTATGAGCGTGGAATTATGCTACTACCAGAAAGATGGCAAAAGGTGTTGGACCAGAACGGTCAATATATAATTTAATAAAGTATTTGTTTATTATACGAAAACTGTCTTTCATTTCCACAAAAAAAAACGAAATGACTTTCCGAACAACCCTATATACATAGCAGTTTATAAAAATACAAATGCTCTTTATTGAACTTAGTACATGCCCCTGTTGGCTGTCGTCATTGGTAATAATGTAGATAGAAAATAAACGAGAAAAACTCACCTTTGAAAAGCCAATATTAGGTGTCGGTACTTGCAGACTGGAGTCGTGGCATTTAAAAGCTGTAACAAAATAGAATTGATTGTATAACTGACGCGGCAGGTGGTGTAATAGGAATAAATTAGGCTATAAAAACTACGCCTTAAAAGAAACATCAGGAAATAGAAAAAACAATGAATGCCCTTTCCTTTTTATAAAATGAATATTACATAAATTATATAGGTACGTAATGGACGCTAAACTACGTAAATGAACCAAAAAAAAAATAGTCTCGGAAAGGATTTTATAAACACTATAAAATTATTGTCAGACACATCGAGACGAGCAAAAAAATATAATTAAGACATTCTTTTATAGTTACTACTGTCTACTGTTCCAGTGACATTAACTGGAGACTACTGAAATACTTTTAATTATGTCAACTTGTTAGATTAGGTAAAAAAAATAATAAGTTCGGAGTTTCTTTCTGAATGGAAAATAAGTATAAATTATTAAATAAAAGCTAAAATGTCAGGACAGGCAGTCCTAATTACACAGTCTGATTGACCCTGGATGGTTACAGCCCTTTAAAATGCGATTTGAAATTCGATTCTTAAAAAATTCTGAAGGCAAAATATCCTGACAAAGACTTTCGTGGCCACTAGGTGAACTGATGCTCAAGAAAAATTAGTTATCATTTGCGCGAGAACGTTCTGAAACCTTCCAGAAAATTAAAAAAAAATTCTCGAACCCTGTAGATGTAAGGTGTTGAGAAAAAAAATATGAAATTCTGTAACGATTTGTCCACATGTCGGGCTCAATTAGGATCTTTATTGATTTTCTATGTGGAGTCCTTTGGGGGGATAGTCTCTTAATATGATGATAGTATTAATGTGATAAATTGGAATAAAAAAGAAGAAACAAATAACTCGAAATTTTTTAATATTCGCACAACTCTAATAGAGATATTAAATGTTATTGAAAATCCTTTCACTCAAGGAAATGCTTTGTACTGATGAAAGGAATTTTCATCACTGTCAATAAAATAAGGTTAGTGATACCAAGCTCAATGTATTCTTACTTATTGTAAAAATACCTTCTATAAAGTTCTTGCATAACAGTCTATTACAACTATACTGCATTCAGTAGGTGCGGTCCCTAAGATGTGGCAACTACAAACGATTACCAAGAAAAGGAGATGTCAAAAGGATTATTGTACATTTATCTGAATGATACTATTGGTTACAGTGCACAAATTTACTTGCAATTCATTTATTAAATGGAAACTGTTTTTTACTAGATAATAAACAAAATGGTTTTCTGGAAAAGTCGAGCTATGAAATTTTATTGCATCCACAAGTTCAAAACAAAATAAATGCTTTACAAATGACTCAACATCTAATTAAATACCATCGATAACAATTTAGCTAATCTAAAGGAAGAAAATCTACCTTTAATTAATTAGCTGTAAATTAGCAATTGAACAAATCAATAACTAAAAGACTACAGTATTTTTTGTTTATTGCATTGAATGAGGGTATCATTAGATAGTTCCCCTAATGCAATATTGAAAATTTATTACTAAAAATGATCTCCATAAAGAGTTAAATATTCCTTTTTGAAAATTTAAATTATCTAAATATTAATTACGTTAGAAGCTTTTTTGTCGCTGTTGTCAATGAAAATGTTTTGACTGTTAAAACTTCATTTGGGCTACCTTAAAACATGAAACCTAACCTTACCTACCCTTACTGCTTTAAAAGATGAAATATTCACATACTTACAAAAGGTCATTAAAATGTCACTTTGTTTCTAAATTACCTAGGAAAAATACTGGAAAAAAATCCTAAATGAACTGTTTAATTACTACTTTCACGAGCACTGAATCTCCCTACAATTTTTATGTATAATTATCTAGAAACTTGCATGGAAGATCTTAAGAATATTTATTATCAAACAGTAGTTAAATCCGTTAGATTAAGTCATATTCCCTATTCTTATCATGATGATATGCTTCATATCAAATAGATGAAAATTGAAGATTGCCTTTAAATATTTTCTTATTATTGCTCCAAAAACGTATAAAAAGTGAAGGGGACTTGGGATTTGTTAGTGTACCATATGAAGTACGGCGATAATATGTGTGTAAAAATGCTTACAAAATTTTTCAATACAATTTTTCTTTATTTTGAAGTGAAAATTGATCCCGACTCATCCTTGTTTTCTAATAAGTCTTTCAGAAATTGTTACAGCTTTTTTCGAGGATGTGTGCTACGCAATAATTTGCAACACCATGCGAGCTTAATATATTTTTCTTTTTCTGGCATGAGTGAAGGTACGTAAGACATAGATGCTTTAAAGGCTGAGAAGTTTTAAAAGTGAAAAAAAGTAAAGAGACAGCCAGTAAACTGCGGTATTAAATCAGCTCTTTTCGGTAAGAAAAAAGTTGCAGGAGTGAAATTACCCATTGTTTATCGAAATTGAATGGTAGAATATTAAGTCAATCAATGTCGATTTGAACGAGAGTGACAAAATCCCCCATTGATTGGCCTGTCAATTAACTCTTCTTGGGACATGTATACGTGCGTGGAAACGCGTCTTATCAGATCCTCCCGTCACTGTTAACTCCCGTGAAATGTTTATGGAATAGACGGTTGACTCTGTCTCCAACTACCGTCATCGTCTTTTAATTATTCTACAACTAACTGTCCTCTTGCTGGCTGCATCTTGTCTCTTCTTTCTCCGTGTATTTGTAAATAATACCCTTTACCTTGTCTATTACTCCTTGTATCTAATTATACGGTACCAATATTCTTTTTGCACTCTAAATTAACTCTAACAATCGACTGATTACCTGCTAACTTTCGTAATTTCCTCGCATTCCCTTTTTCCGATATAAAGAAATCAATGACTGTCGAACAAGTACGCATAATGGCGTTCATCCTTTTACCCTGGCAAAGAAAAATAATTTTGAAAATTTTCAATGCTAAAAAAAACAGGTTTTTTGGACCATTGTTATCTGGATAATGCTTGATGTATATTCGAGATTAATGACCTAGGATTGTCTCTCCTTCGGTGAGAACACCGATTGAGTCTTTTATGCGACACGACGTTTCGCCAATAACTATATTTGACGTCCTCAGGGAATGTATTAGCAAGTTAGCGAAACGTCGATTAACCGCTCCATCGGTGTTCTAACCGAAGGAAAAGCAATCGTAGACCGTGGACCACGGCGATCAAGCTCGAATCATATCAAGCATTATCCAAAGGTATAACTTGATTTTGTCCCACAATATTTGTAGATAAATAATATTAAAAATTAACAATTTTTATTATTTTTTTTTTCAAAACCAGACACGTAAATGCCAAAGGCATTTATTTTATTTTCCGATTATTTTTGACATAGTTTAGTTTATTTTATTTTATTCTTTTAATTATGACAAATATACATATTTTAATTATATTCACCATCATAAGTTAGTCAGTCCTAAGACACGTACTTCCACTCTTTCCTATCCTGAGCTAATCTTTGCCCTAAAACTAGAACGACCCACATCCTTAACTATTTGTGAACCGTAATCTAACCTAAGTCTACCTCTACCCCTCGTAACTCCCGTTTCTGCCATCAATATGTCTCTGACTAAATTTTCATACCTGAAAAAGTGTCCTACCTGGCCTATTTCTTACTGACTTCCGTAGAGTTTTCTGTTCTCTAACTCTTTCTAATACCTCTTCATTTCTAACCTTCTCTGTCCACGGTATCCTCATCATTCGCCTGTAACACCACATTTCGAATGCTTCTAACCTTTTCTTTTCCGCCGCGTCCACCATCCATGTTTCGCACCCGTACAGCACCGCGCTCCAAACATGCACCTTTAACAACCTTTTTCGAATTTCTAAATTAACCATTCGCCAGCTTAAAAGTGACTTCTTTTTATTGAAGGCGACTCGACCCTACGCTATCCTCTGCTTTATATCCCTACCCCTCCTTCCGTCCTGACATATCTGACTTCCTAGATACCTAAAATCGGCTACTTCTTCTAATCGTTCATCTCCTATCTTTATATTCGCTGTTTCCCTACATTTCCTTCCCTTACATACCAGTATTTTTGTTTTACTTTTAGTTATTTTCATACAGTACTGTTTTGTCAATTTTATTAATCCAGTTTTTATGACTTCTAAAATCTCTAAAATAAACATATTCTGCCTATAAAATTTTCCAACCGATATTTTCAATTTTTCTTCCTGCAGATTTCGTATAATACGTATAAGGAGAAATGGTACTGAACGTTTCAATTAATTTATTATAGAAATAAAATTAGGGTTAATAGTCCTGTAAATTTGGCTTTCATTCAACGGTGGTTACTGACAGAAAAACAAGACACCTAGATATAGATTTCACTACATTGGAAAGTGTTAAATGTTAATCTTTAGTGATGTTAAAATTTTTCAGCGTGCTAGTACCTTAGGTAGGTATACATAAACCAGCTACATTCACTTAATTTCAACAAGGTTAAGTGTGGGAACACATTCTCTATCGCAGACGCTTGCAAACCCAATACCATAAGTTGCTTTAAAATAAATGGAAAATTGCGAAACATCTTATTTAATGAGATGCAGCATTTAATTTAATTTCAAACACTACTAGCACAGAACAATCGATATTCTGACTTCCTTACCTAACTGGCTGACTTTAGAAAACTTCTATTGATTCAAATAATTATTTCAACGATTATAGATACCTAGGTATTTCACTCATCAAAAAATTTTAAAATTATTTCGAATAAAACACAAATAGTCTTGGGTGATTTAAATCTTTACCGCACCAAATAGTTTGCCAATGAGTCTAAGGGATAGTTACAGGGTGCCAAACCCCTCAATACCGCTTAGTATTGAATTATTATTTTCCAGTGGAAGTTTTTCTTGTTCCCCAATATTCTTTCTAGCTCTAAAATTTATTTAAGGTAAGATTATGCCGATGAGATAGTTTGTCAGCGGGTCCAAGGGATATTTACTGGGTGCGAAACCCCTCAATACTGCTTACTATTGAATTACTAATTTCCAGTGGAAGTTTTTCTTGTGCCACGATAATTTTTTGTATCCTAGCTCTAAAAGTGATTTAAATTAAGATAATGACTATGAAATAGTTTGTCAGCGATTGTAAATATATAGAAGGCAGATAGAGCAATTCTTATGAATATTAAACGTCGTTATTGGCCATTATTTTGTAAATTCTGTTATTTAGTTGGTTTCTTGATCATTTAAGAAAGTAAGGCCCCAAGGCAAATTGTTTGTTTAACCCTTCGGTATTTATACCACTCTTCCTGATTTCTATATATTTACGCCAACAGTTTGCTAATTTAAAATGATTTTTACTATTCACCACATCTTTGTTTTTCTGTTAAAATTTTCCGTTTATTTTGTAATAGTTTTCCATAAAATGTAATCTAAGTATAACAGAGAAATCGTGGAGCAGCGAGCATTATGTTACTTACATCTTTAATGGAAAATTAACAAAATCGCAATAACAATAACATCCTCTTATTGCGAATGATTCAGCCAATTAACAATAGGTATGTTAATTACATTACAACCACAAATCCTAATTAAATTCATTTGATGATATCATTAACGACAGAAAGCTAATAATAGTAGTAATTTTCAAGTCGTAATAGATGACCTGAAAAATGGTCCTTAGTTAAAGACAATCGATAACTTTAGGCTTTTAAAAAACCCGGATTTAGTGGATGCCTGTAGCTGTGACAAAACCTTAGTCATAATCTAGCAAAAACAAGCGCAAGTCGGACCCGTTGGCATGTATCCGTTGCGAGAATTGTGTCTCGAAGATCTCAAAGATTTTTCCCGCTTTTTCCGAGTATGTTTCCCCACAAAATCATTCCCAAAATTAAACTTACGAGGTCTATTCAAAAAGTATCGCGAATTTTGAATTTCCGCGGGTTACGTTTATTCGATTTTCGATTTTTATGTGGCGTTATGTTGGTACTCATGTCTCTAGGGTTGCCATCCGTTCGGGTTTCCCCGGATTTGTCCTAGTTTAGAAGGCATCCGGGGGGGCTTCATTTGTAGTCCTGGTTTAAAAATTGAAAGTCCTTTTCATTTCCGCCGCGCCCACTGTCCATGTTTCGCACCCGTATAACTCCGTGCTCCAAACATACACCTTTAACAACCTTTTTCGAATTTGTAAATTAACCGTTCGCGAGCATAGAAGTGACTTCTTTTTATTAAAGGCGACACGACCGTGCGCTATCCTCTGCTTTATATCCCTACTACTCCTTCCGTCCTGACTTATCTGACTTCCTAGATATCTAAAATCAGCCACTTCTTCTAATTTTTCGTCTCCTATCTTTATATTCGCTCTTTCCCTACTTTTTCTTCCCTTGCATACCAGTATTTTAGTTTTACTTTTATTTATTTTCATACAGTACTGATCTGTCAGTACCGTTTCCAATTTATTTAAAGCTATCTCTAGATCCTCCTTGCTAGATGCTAATACTGCTATATCATCTGCAAATCTAAGCATACTAATCTTTTGCCCTTGCACATCTATCCCTACAGTTGTACTGTCTTTAATGATGTTGATGGCGTCTTCGATGTATAGATTAAAAAGTAGCGGTGACAGTGTGCATCCCTGTCTGACTCTCTTCCTAATATTTCTTCTTTACATTACTGCTGAACCTCTATAAGTATATACACAAACTATGTATGGCTCTATATATCATCCCTACATTTTTAAGAATATTTAACATCTTGTCCCATTTAACATTGGCAAAAGCTTTCTCTAAATCTACAAATTTTTTTACAGCTCCAAGGGATTGCAGACCTGAGTATTTAATATTAATTTCAACTTGATACCGCAACGCGTTCCAGAGAAAAAGGGTTTTGAGTGATACATACACAGCCGGACGACGAAGTGATCCTATGAGAATTCTTTTTGAAACAATCCGACTATTGATGGTATAATTTTATCGAAAGAACACAAATAATCAGTTTAGAAACCTGATAAGAAAATTTGCGTCATATAGCTGACTTATCCTTTTTACTAAAACATTATAAGTTTTCGAAATCGTCATAGAAAAATATACATATGTTTATACCATCAGCACGGAAATAATAATTAATGTGAACAAATAAAAGGAAGATGTACAATTGAAATCGCTATCCATAATTGATTATGTCAGGATTGAAAATAAATTGCTCTTGTAGATCATATATGCCATAAACTTATTAATTGATAATTATCGCTATGGGATCTTACATAATGGGTCAGATTATATTAATTGTATCTTAACCCAGACACTGCGTTGGGTGGCTAATTATAGTAGCAAACAATACCCCTAATTATTATACCATACACCACACAATAGTACCGGAACTAAAAACTATCGTATTTTGGCACACTCTGCCAATTCTTTTAATTGGCAACTAGTCTTTATGCAAAATAAAACGCTAATGGCCACGTGGATTTATTTTTAAAAAAATGTGAAAGGTTTTGTTGACCTTTTCATTATTTTACGCTAACTAAAAATGAAACCGAAAAAACCGTTAGGTAATTAAATATATTTTAAATTAAATTCATTTTACACTGTAAATAAATAAATAAATATCTGTACAATTAAACTAAACTTATTTTGTGATCTTGTCAATTTGACAACTTTCTCGATTATTAATTTTTATATTCCGTGAAATAATTTATAATGTAAATACTTAAGTAAGTAAATGTTAAATTTGTACATTCATACACCGGGATGAAGAATATTTTTAAATGTGTACATACCTTGTTGAAAATAATTGGCTTTCCTTACGTAAACACAAACTAGAGCCATTAGTTGAAGTTGTGATAACCTTTGGCGTGTTGAGGGAGGCAATGGAAGCAATTCTCGTAAATTCGCAATTTCTGCGTTGATTAAATCTCTTCGTAGTTTACTTGCACCTTTCGTTGATTTATTGGCATCAAACCTGCAAAAAAAAACGAGATTAGTTAATGTAAAGATATTGTTTAAAAAATCCTAAATCTCGTTATTGCATTTAATTAATGTATTGCTTAATAAATTTATTAGCGAGTATCAAGTGTAGATACTTTAAATGTATTGATTAATGTACATAATAATATGTCAAATTTTACATATTGTTCATTTTGTCTGTTTTATTAATTGAACCATTCCGAGTAAGATAGTGTTTGATTACCTTACCTAACCTTTTTCTTATCAATGTCTTTCTACTATTGAATCTTTAACTGGGAAATTGAATTGATTTACTTGGGTTACGCTAGTCTAACCTATCCTCACATGTAAATAATCTTCATAACATAAATTTTAGTAAAAACCCCGTTAAACTGTGAAAATACCTAACCAAACCTCTTCTACTATTAAATCTTTAACTAGGAGATTCAATTGGTTTAGATGGGTTACGCTAGCCTAACCTACCTTCACATGTAAGTAATCTTCATAACATAAATTTTAGTAAAAACCCCGTTAAACTGTATAAATACCTAACCAAACCTCTTCTACTATTAAATCTATAACTGGGAGATTGAATTGATTTAGTCCTAACCTATCCTCACATGTAAATAAATTTCACTATGTTTAATTTTAGTAAAACACCCGTTAAACTATATAAATACCTAAACAAACCTCTTGAAAATAAACCATTTGACATAGAAAACTGTTATGTGCTAACCCTAGATATATAATTTTTTAAAATAATCATCAAGGAAGGGAGGACAACCAAGATCAATGTCTCTTGCAAATGTTCTGATATATCTAAAAGGATAGACAAAGATCGGTTGTCACAAGGTGTCTTTTTTTTAAAGACCACCTAAGTACACGGCGATATCCAGTCTATATTATGTTGATACATAGTGTAAACCTAACCTAACCTAACCTAACCTCTTCTTCTAAGGCACGTTGATATATAAGACTATTATATGCTAACCTAAACTGTAAATAACCATGATTATAGTTTCGTAAAATAAAAATTTGAAATCCATTTAGCTTAATTCCATTTCGTTAATAGTTTTTAGTGTTTTTAGTTTGTAAGGCATTTTTAAAATGGGGTAGAACAATTAGTTGGGGATTATTTATTCGTGACTTTTAGAACCCGTTAAGTTAGGTGTTATTTAGCAAGTAAACGGCAAAGAGTTTATATATACGCATTTATGTAACCAATCTGAACAAGACTCTAATAAATTTAGTTGTTAATTACTAGTGCTGTAGATTGTATGTTTACATGTAGTTCCTATCATGACAGAGTTTACTTTCAATGTCTCAGTTTCGCTGCCCGGTAAAATTCTTCAGCCGTAATATTTTCCTGCCCGGTACAAGTATCTAATGAGTTAATTTATCAAATTTATTAGCCAAAGACTTAAGGTTCACAAACAACTTTTTTATAAATGAATAAAAACATACAAATGAAGTATATGAAAAATTTTTAATTTTTAGTTTGGTTTAATGAAATTGTTCAAAACAATTAATTGAAGAGATGTGAAATACAGATGTTATTTTAAAAGATCCAAAAAAAAGATGTTACGCCTATATCATCATCATAAGGTTGTCAGTCCTAAGACTGGTTGGACACGCACATCCACTCTTTCCTATCCTGAGCTAATCTTCGCCTTAAATTAGAACAACCCACAACACACATTCTTAACTATTTGCGAACAATCTAACCTAGGTCTACTTCTACCCCTCTTAACTTCCGTTTCTGCCTCTAATATGTCTCTGACTAGACCTTCATGCCTGAGAAGGTGTTTTACTAGCCTATCTCGCCTATTTCTTATTGACTTCCATAGAGTCCTCTATTCTCCTATTCTTTGTAATACCTCTTCATTTCTAACCTTCTTTATCCACGGTGTTTCGAACTCTTCTAACCTTTTCTTTTCCACCGCGCCCACTGCCCATGTTTCGCATCCGTACAGCGCCGCGTTCCAAACATACATACGCCAATATGCTAAATTAATGTTAAATTAGGAAATAACTAAACTTCACTAGACCATGTTGATAACTAAGCCTTTATTTAGTAAAAAATTTGTTGAAACAGAAATTAATGTTTAGAAAAAGGCATTTAAAATGGAAAGGAGAAAAAGGCATTCTGCATTTCGAGTAGAGCTTTTCGAAATAAATCGCATCTTTGATTAATTGGTTTGAAAAGTAATTAAAGGATGGAGAAGTGGTGTAAGTTTGTGTAGATTCCATTACAGGTCAGGAAGGATTTACTAATATTTATGGTAGTTACATTTTCAGCTAATTGTAGTTAGCAAGCGGAGTTACTTTCATCAGTAACTCACTGTCGGCAGAGGTTACATCTTATGGATATAAAATTTCGAACTTGAAACAAACCAGCAACATTTATCATCACTTGGGGATTGTAGGTACATACAATTCGTTACAAGAGAAAGTATAACAAATTTATAACACAGCGTACATCATTAATAACACCGCTAATGAAAGAAAATAGCTGTAAATAGCTTTGATTGTTTTTTTAAACGTCATTTTATACCATCCATTAATATAACATGCGAGATGTTAAGGAACTTTCGGCTCCTTGTCAAACTAAACGATTGAAAGATGTCTAAAAAAGGCTTCTTCTAAGAGCACTCTTCCTTATAATTACCCACTCGAGAGTGTAGGTAGAAATTTCAATATTTAATTGTAAGCTTGTACATTATTGCCTTTTATATTATCAAGTCTTTTAATTGACAATGCACAAACAAATACGAATATCTACCGTCTGACTTTTGCAACTTGAATTTTATTAATCTCTCTTTTTATAAAATTGTTAAAAATTTAAAAACCTTTAATTGAGACCAATAAAAGTATCTTACCTAAAAATTGAGTTTACAACCAAAAACAGGTGTACATAGAATCCGTTTATAATGACATCAAAGGAAAATGACAAAACGTCATACTAAGCGGGCGTCATGCACAGCATAGTCTTAGAAAATAAACAATTTTCGATTTTGGTTAATTATTTAGTTTAATAGAGAGAAAAACTATAAATTGTATATATCTATTAACAGAAAAAGAAAAAGAACGATGAATTGTAATATCAATATACATAAGAAGGGGTCAGAAAAATGAGCGAAAATGTTATTATTNTTTTAATACAGTAGAATCCGTTTATAATGACGTAGACGTCATACTAAGCAGACGTCGTACAAAGCGTAGTTTTAGAAAATGAACAACTTTCTATTTTGGTTAGTTATTTAGTTTAATTGAGAGAAAAACTATAAATTGTATATATCTATTAACAGAAAAAGAAAAAGAAGGATGAATTGTAATATCAAATGTCATTGGGTCACTATAGCCGGATATGATTTCTTGAGAATCAGTCATAATAAACGATATGTCATTTTAAACGGAGTTGTTATATCCAAACTTTCCTATAAAGAATTTATTATGAAAACCAAACTTAACACTGCAATTACTTCATATTAATCGGTTGGTCAATATAGAAGATAGTTGTAATAAACGAATTCCACTGTATTTCACTTATAAGACGTTGTTCCGAGTTGAAAGAATTAATTGCGTTTTTGTGAATAAAACTGTGTAACACCCTGTACGTCGCATGGATAATTTAGTTATCCTAAAAGAATTTTTTAGCGTTATTCAATGTCGAAAACTTTCAAAGGATAAACAAAAACCGTCGGCGGATTGGTTGAGGTCTTTCACTTTTCTAAACATTTTTCAAAGCATCGAATGTTACTGAATTGATGTATACAATAGGTTGGTAATCTATTCAAGTAAAGCTTGACTTCGGTTAAGTGTGTTCTCCTTAGCTAATATTTAAAATTTTTACGCACGAATGCCTCTCGGAAACCCTGTTTGTATTTGTTAAGCCGTTAATTTATCCATTACCTATCGCGTACAAAAAACTTAAGTTCCAATCTAAACTGCTCCAAATCGGTTTTTACATAGATTCACGTAACAATTCTGAAGACGATTTTAAAAATACGACCACGTAGTTATTGTTTTTGACAATTCATTGCTTTCCTACATATATGTACGTATGTGTACCAATAAAAACCAGAAAAATACCAACGTTTGAATTAACAATTGCAGTCATTACACTCCTCTGCCATTTGGTGCAAGTATTCAATTGTTTCTGCTGAACACAACTCCCATTCTTCCCTCACATACTAATATCTCTGTCACAAAGGACTGAAATAACGGTAACGGCTTGTAAAAAAATATTACGTACTCCAGGACAACGCTCTACCAAGAACAAAGACACTACCACCCCATCATTGTTATTATTCTATCCATATGCCAGCTCAACCTTTCTATAACAAAAACTTTACGCTGACAATTAAAGTAGGTCCTTTACAAACAAATTACTTAATCTGATTACCTAAGGGACGTAGGAAATGTGAAACAGAATTCAAAACGTGAATATACACACAAACAAAATTAAATTACAATAGAGCTTGGTTATAGCGTCACCTGAGAGTACCGGTGAGATTTTGACGTAATGTTTCGACATTAGGCAATTTTTGAAACATATTTTGCACTATGTGGTCCATATAATAATAACAGTAAATGCCGCAAAGAAAAGCAAGTGGGAATTGGCGACTTTTCACTTTGCCTACCAAGATGATGACATCTGGCAATAAGACGACCGTTTCATAGATTTACAGCAATAAAAATTATGATGACCGATAAATTTGCAGGACTATTACGAACTGACGTTATATCAGAATTGTCGTTACAACCGATGCGGTACAGTCAAGTTAGACTGCAAATGAATCAAGTTCGTTCGTAGTTCAGTTTCTGTTTTATGTGGTCATCAGTAAACTTTTACATCAATGCGAGCGAAGCCGAGGGTAAAACCTATCATAAAACATTGTACAGATATTGTCAAAGGGACACAAAAGGACATAGGGTACGTTTTATCCAGAAAAAGAATACTGTTCCCGAGAGATAAAAAAAATAGTTTTATGTGATCGTCGATGATGATCCATA